GCCGCGCCGCACATGCAGCAGGAGGTCCCGTGAGAGCTGTTTCGCAACGCCGTCCGCCATGGCTTCCTCGCGCATCTCGTCGCGCTGGTGCACGAGGAAGGCCCAGATCGCATGCGAGAAGCTCGATGCTGGCGACACGCACGACGGCGCATACGCTGTAAAGTGCACACGGTCGGTCAGTGTGGTTGGCTGCAGCAGCGACGGGCGTGGCGAGATGTCGATGGACGTGAACGTACGTTCGACTTGAGAGCGCAGGAACGGCCCTGAGGCTTGCGGTGAGAGCGAGCCGTACTCAACCTCCTGAAAGAAGCCGGTGGTGCTGTAGGCTGTGGGCGAGACCCATGCCGTTGGGTCTGGGAAATCACGCGAGACGGGCGGATCGGTGGTCACAAAGTCTTGGGCGTCGAACGGGTCGTAGCTCGCACCTTGCTGTCGACCGTGAACGCCTTGCTTGACGTCGGCTGGCTTGTAAATGTCGACAATCGACGGCTCGTCCGTGTCCTCGTCGCGATATGCTGGCGCAGAGTACTGTGCCACTTGAGGCGGTGATACATCGAGAGACGTGAGCTGATTGATGTTGGTCAGTCGACCATCGCTGGTTTGGCTCGGTGGTCGCGCCACGGGCTGCATTATTGCTGGCAGCGTCGGTGGTGACGGAACGGTGGACGGCGACGGAATCGCTGGGGGTGGTAGTGCAATGCTCAGAGCCAGTCCAGTATGACCTTGGACAAAGGGCTCGAGCGGAACTGGGATACAAAACAAGTCATTGTGCTTCGACGTGATTGAAATGCCAGACACGGTCGGTGCGTCACTGCCTTCGTCAGGCTTGGGCGCCGGGAGGGAGCTGCCTTGCACGGGCAACATAACGTCATGACCCGAGAGCTTGTCACGCACGACGGCGACGGTGCACGCGGTGGTGACGGTATTGATAATGTTGGTAAACCAGAGACTGACGACGTACGCTCCAAACCAAATGCCCAGCGCTGCGGCCATCGTTCCGACGCTGACGTCGTACTTGCCGTCGGTCGTCGTGTGGATAGGTGTCGTCGTCGTCCTCTCTGGCGTGTAGATCTGGTGCCACCCGAGCGTGAAGAGGAAGAAAATGAGCTCCAAGATGTACTTGACCGTCCACGCCTTCCAGCCGTAAAAGTAGACCATAAGGCTCAGCACAAGGCAAACGCTCGCTGTCGTCGGCCGCTTTGGGTCCGTCTCGATGATCGTCTTGCGCTCGTACACGTTGCGCAGGTGCACGTCGATGCGGCACAAGAAGCCGATCGTACGACTCGTGTAGTGGTTCAGGCGTGCGCGGTAGGTCGCCCACGACCGGCCATGGCCGCAGCGAAGGATGTACGTGGCGAGCCAGAACGGGTACGCGCAGAACCAGACGACGCAGAGCGCTGGAAAGGCGTAGTAGAGCGCTTGCTGGTAGGCGAAGGTGGCGGCGACGAAGAGCACAAGCCGGCGGCGCGACTTGTGGCCGCCGAGTCGCCACCGGCCGTCGGTGTTCCGCCACATTACAATTCAGCACACGGTCTCGCCAATCCGCCGTCTCGGATTGGCTGAAATAGCAATTTCGTGACGAGACCGGCCGCGAACTCTCATCATCTCATTACCTGTCATAATACATATGTCAATATAGCCAAAACATAATAGGAAACAGTCTCCAGACCTTTGACATTAGATACCCTTATCTACTGATATACGTAACGTGGCGCACGGAGGCAGTGCCATGGAGCTCGCTCAGAACTAAATCGAAAAGTAGACCTGTACACGCTACAAGTACGCCTTAATCGCACACGCAAATCGCTGATCGGCTTGGGCCAACAGGATGACTTTCATCACCTCGAAAATGCGCCGCCTTCCAACACCAAAAACATCACGAATCAATACGTAAACCTTAGTCGAGTGCCATGAGCACCTGCGCCATGCTCGGCCGCTTGGACGGGTCGTCGCGGAAGCACTGCGTCACAAGGTCTTGTAGATGCAGCGGAATCGCCGTTGACAACGCCAGTCGGTCGCCTGACAAGACGCGCGCCGCCGCCTCGGCCCCGCTCAGACCTGCAAACGGACCCACGCCGTGGTACGTCTCCCAGATCAGGACGCCGAACGAGTAGACGTCCGACTGGTACGAAAACGCATGCGGC